CGATGGGAGGTTGCCAAGCATATCACACCCCCAAAAGGGACGCGGGGGCTCAGGGGCTAAGACACTTGAGCTTGTTGATCAGAAAAGGTCAGCAGTTTGGCGGTTCGAATCCCCAGCGCCGCGTAACGGAGTGAGCTCCCGCGACTTGTCCCAGCTCCTGCCAACCTAGCAGTTCGAAAGCACGTAAAAAAAAAATGCAAGTAGAAAAATAGGAACCGCCTTTGGTGGGAAGGGAAACAGCATTCCGTGCGGCTTCGGGAGTTGAGTCATGCCGGCCACATGACCACGGAGACGTCTTCGGACAGCGCTGGCTCTTGGGCTTTGAAACGGAGATGAGCACCGCCCCCTAGAGTCAGGAACGACTAGCACTCATGTGCGAGGGGAGCCTTTATCTTTTTTAAAGCAGGGTACATTCTTCTTGAGAGTCTCTGCCCCAAGAGGAATTTCAGCTCAGCTGTGCAAGCATTCAACCCCCTCCCCAATAAGGCTAGGATCATTTAGTTCAGAAAGGGAGCGGTTTAGCTCTTCATTCTAGCGCTCTCCTCGTTTTACAAAGGGCATTAAAAGTACAGGTGTAGAGAGAGCGTTTTAAAGGGTAATTCTTCAAGGGAGTTTACTACGTTAAAAATAAAATAGGCCCACCACCAAACGGAAGTGCCTAGGGCTAGGAAATATGTTCTGCACTTTTAATAATACAGCTATTTGGTCTCTGCCGCGTGTACGAATTTGCACAGCCCTTAACACTTCATGAATGAAAATGGGAACAGGACTCCTTTTAATATCTAGAGCTTTGCTTCTTACCACTGTCGCAACCGCACGGGCACTGCGATAGGGTGCCTTTATTTGGCGTTCCCAAGAACGCGCCCCATGCGAACAGGGACCAAAACTGAAAGGAATACGTTGCCAAAGGAGAGGATCTGGCTTGTAGAATTAGCGTGCTTGTATCTTCAGCTGATAGAAACAGAGGTGTATTTGGGAAGACATGCCACTACGATCCATGGAAACGGGAAGGAAACGGGTGAGTTAGATACTCATCCTGTTCTGACCCCCCTAAAAAGGGGTTTTGCCAGGACCAAGACTCAGCTTCTTCTTTAAAAAGCAAGAAGCTGAGTCTTGGTCCTGGCAAAACCCCTTTTATTTACACGAGTGCGAATTCCTTTCATTCACACTCAGCAAGGTTTAGCAAACAGTCTTTCAAAGGAATGTTTATCCACACAAACCTTATCTCCGTATGGAGAGCTGCTGGATAACTACTGTATTTTTCAGAGTATAAGACGCACCTTTTTCCCTCAAAAAAGAGGCTGAAAATCTGGGTGCGTCTTATACACTGAATACAGCATTTTTGCCTCCTGAAAACCCACCCCTTCACCAAAATGGCTGTGCATAGGTTTTAGGAGGCTTTCAGAGAGCTCCTGGGGACTGGCGAAGGGCAGAAATAAGCAAAAAACAGACCTTTTGCTCGCTTTTGCCCCCCCAGCCCTCAGGAGCGCTTTATAAGTCTCCTAAAGGCTATCCATGTCCTTTTTTGGACAAAAAACGGGGCCTGTTTTCGTGAAAAATGGGCTGTTTTTTGCTCCCACCCCCCGGAGCACTCTACAAGNAGAGAGACAGAAAGAGAGGGAGAGAGAGAAAGAGGGGGTGAGAGAGGGAGAAAGAGGGGGAGAGAAGGGAGAGAGAGACAGAGAGGAAGGGGGAGAAGGAGGAGAGAGAGAGGGAGAGGGGGGAGAGGGGAAGAGAGAGGGAGGAAGATAGTGAGTGAAAGACAGAGAGAAAGAGAGGGAGGGTGAGAGAGAGGGAGAGAGAGAGAGGAAGTTAGTGAGTCAAAGAGGGAGAGAGAGGGAGAGAGAGAGGGAGATAGGGAGAGGGGGAGAGAGTGGGAGGGAGGGAGACAGAAAGAGAGGGAGAGACAGAGAGGGAGGGAGAGGGAGAGAGGGGGGCAAGAGAGGGAGAGAGAGAGGAAGAGAGTGAGTGAGTGAAAGAGAGAGAGGAGGGAGAGAGAGACAGAGAGGGAGGGAGAGAGGGGGAGGGAGAGAGGAAGATAGTGAGTGAAAGAGAGAAATAAAGATTGGGAGAGAGGGGGTGAGAGAGAGAGGGGGAGGGAGAGAAGGAGAGATAGTGAGTGAAAGAGAGGGAGAGAGAGGGAGGGGGAAGAGAGAGGGAGGAGGGAGGGAGAGGGGGGAGATTCCACAAACACAGAACGGCAGATCTCTGTCTTTCTCCCGCGGTCTGATTCCCCTCCGCAGCCTCTGCTTGGTCTCAGGGCTTAGAATTGATCTGAGCTCTGCTGGGATCCACCTGGGCTGCATCTAATGGTGGCCCTTCCTCCTTTATCTCCCCTTTGTGTCGGTGTCTGCAGCTCGCAGGGTCGCCGTCTGAAACCTCTCCCTTCTCATTAGGTCCGCCTATGATTTGCACGCTTTTCTCTGAATGGGCGCAGCGTCCGGGTAATTTATCTGCCTCCAGGGCAGGCAAGGGAAAAAAAACCGATGTGCAGGCTGCCCAGGGAGGAAGCGGAGCCCAGGCCTCACTGGACGGCGGAGATCCCCTCCAACCCACTCCCCTCCCCGGAAAGACTGATGAGACCTTTCCGGAGGTTTCCTAGTTTCTTTCTTTTCTTCCCTCCTTCCCTCTTCCCACGCCCTCCTTCCTTTCCCTCCTTCTTTCTATTTCCTTCCTCTTCCCACTCCTTCCTCCCTTCTACTTCCTTTCCACTCTTTCTTCCTTCCCCTCCTTTCTACTTCCTTCCTTCCTCTTCCCACTNTCTCTCTGCGTGTCTCTCTCTCTGTTCTCTCTGTTTCTCTGTCTGTCTCTTTTTCTTTCTCTGTCTGTCTTTCTCTCTGTTTCTCTGTCTGTCTGTCTCTCTCTCTGTCGCTCTGTGTCTCTCTCTCTGTGTTCTCTGTTTCTCTGTCTGTCTGTCTCTCTTTCTCTTTCTCTCTCTCTCTGTCTTTGTCTCTATTTCTCTTTGTCTCTGTCTCTCTCTTTCTCTCTTTGTCTCTCTCTGCATGTCTCTCTCTGTTCTCTCTGATTGTCTGTCTCTCTCTCTCTCTCTCTTTCTTTCTCTCTCTCTGTCTTTGTCTCTTTCTCTTTCTCTCTGTCTGTCTCTCTCTCGGTCTCTCCCTCTTTCGGTCTCTCTCTCTCTCTGTATGCATGAAGATAGTTTTTGATTGTTAGGGCCGAGTGCTGCTATATTAAGATTTGTATGTTTGTGTATTTTTTTAAAAAATGGGGGGGGGAGTCTTTTGAACTCCCCCCTCCCCTCCCCCATCCTTGAAGCCTCCGTGCTTTTTCCTTTAAAGCATGACATGTGCTCTTAATAGTAACATTTCAGACTGAAATCCTGTTTCCTGCCGGGCTGCAGGCCACCCAAGACAGTTAAAAGAGGGCGTGAAATGAAACACAAACAGGGTGTGTGTGTGTGTGTGTTTCCTGGCTCAGGGATGCTCTAGGTATCCCCACTGCCTGGTCTCCCCACATCCGTCCCCATGGACCACTTCCTAAATGACGGGGGAAATGGGAACGCTCAGTAATTTTGGGGGGGACCGTTTCTTCATTCACTCCATTCAATCCTTTCATTGATCCCTTGAGATTCTTCGGTTGGCACTGGCAGTCAGCTAGCCCAGCGGTCACCAACTGGTGATCCACAAGCAAATTTGGGTGGTCCGCAGAAACATTATTTGCATTTTCTATATTGCACTAAATCAGGGGTCCTCAAACTACGGCCCCTGGGACGGATACGTGCAATAAAGGCTTGTGTTGCTGCAGAGAGTCTCCCCCTTTGGGGTCTTNTTTTTTTTTTTTTGAGATGGGCACCCATATAAATTTATTAAATAAGGCAGACAAATGACCAGTTTATTCCAACTTCTAACTTTCTAACTTTCATGCTTCCTTTCTTCTTCATTTGTTGAACTGTAGTTATAAGCAACAGAAATTTAATTTATTAAGAGAAGAGAACGAAGGCTATGCAAAACTGATTGCTGAACTGGGACAAGATTTATCTGGAAATATCACCAGTGAATTGATCCTAGAGAATATTAAGTCTTTAATAGGTAAATCATGTTTTCTGAGACAAATTCTCTAGTTGCAGTTTTCCCTATATTACTGTATGTCCTAGATTTACTACATTTTGAGTTTTCATTCTATTCTATTTCATCCTGTGCCAATCCATTCCCTGTTTTCTATTCTGTTCTACTCTATATTCTGTTCTGTTATGTTCTATCCCACCATATCCCATGCCACCCCAATCCGTTCCCTGTTTTCTACTCTACGCTATTCCCTCCTTTATCTATTCTGTTCTGTTCTATTTTGTTCTATTCTATTTTTGTCTTCCAATTCTTGCACTTTCCTCTATAATTTAGTTTCCCAGATTAAAAAAAAATATTCCTGATATTAATCATCCTTGAGGATATTTGATTAATTAATATTCAATAGAGGACCATACTTCCTTGATTTGGTTTGCTTATTTGTCTTGATTAAAAGTAATATTTTTATAACTCCCATCTGTTTAATAGGATGTTTTAACCTGGATCCTAACCGAGTGTTGGATATTATCTTGGAAGTCTATGAATGTCGACCAGAATATGATGAATTTTTTGTACCTTTGATAGAGTCGTATATGTATATGTGTGAACCTCAAACTCTCTGCCATATACTTGGATTCAAATTCAAGTTTTATCAGGTACCACAGAAGTTCACGCCTTAAAATCCTTCAGTGATTTTTTTGTTCACAATGAAATGCAGGTAGTCCTTGGCTTACGACCACAATTGAGCCCAACATGGGCTCAATTTCTGTTGCTAAGTGAAACATTTGTTGAGTTTTACCCCATTTTATGACTTGCCTTGCCGCGGTTGTTGAGGGGGAGCACTGTCGTCGTTAAATTAGTCAAACGGTTGTTAAACAAATCTGGCCTTCCCCCTATTCCCCCCCTTCCCCCTTAACAGTTGTTAAGCGAATCCGGCATCTGCCTGCTTGTCAGAAGGTCGCAAAAGGGGATCACGTGATCTCAGGATACTGCAACCGTCATAAATAAGAGACAGATGCCACACCTCTGGATTTTGATAAAAATGACCCTGGGGATGCTGCGACGGGCGTCAGTGTGAAAATTAGTCACAAGTCACTTCGGTGCCGTCGTAACTTTGAACGGTCATTAAATGAACTGTTGTGAGTCGAGGACTACCTGTACTAAAAGGGAGAGAAAAAGTAATATATTTCTCTGTGTAGGTGGTGTGTGTGTTTGCGGTGTCAAGATTACTGTATTTTTTGGAGTATAAGACGCACCAGAGTATAAGATGCAGCAAGGTTTTGAAGAGGATTTTAAAAAAAAATTTTTTTTTGCACTCTGCAAACCTCCCGAAAACGGGTGCGTTTTTTTGCCAAAAAAGGCACAAATAGCCCTTAGGAGGCTTGTAAAGTGCTCCTGGGGGTGGGGCCAAAAACGAGCAAAAAAACTGTCCATTTTTCATAAAAACGGGCCTGTTTCTTTTCGAAAAAGTCATGGATAGCCTTTAGGAAGCTTATAGAGTGCTGCTGGGGGCTCGGGGGACAAAAAATAGCCTGTTTTTCACTCATTTCCGTCCTCCCCAGCCCCCAGGAGCCCCCTGAAAGCCTCCTAAAGGCTATGCATGGCCATTTTGGTGAAGGGGGCGGGGTTTCAGAAAGCAAAAAATGTTGTATTCGATGTATAAGACGCACCCAGATTTTCAGCCTCTTTTATGAGGGGAAAAAGGTGCGTCTTATACTCTGAAAAATATGGTAGTTTTTAAAGAAACAATAGATTACGTAGTTGATGAACAAAAGGGAGTTGAATTAAGAGGTGTTTTCAAACATCTTTGATTCATTGTAAGGCCGTGTAAATTCTTATCAAAAATAAATAAATAAGATGACCACCCCGTGTTCCCCAACCTTTGTGGCTTGGTGGCATGGCTGCGGGAGGGAAAGAGGGTACTGGGCCACGTGAGCGGTTATCTCACACACGCAGCCCTTGCACGAGTGGTGGGGGCTGGCACACCCGTGTCGTCCTTGGTCAAGGAGGAGGCCGGCACACACGAGTGGCCACCAGCCCGTTGCTCGTGCAAATTGAGCTGCACACATATGCCAACCACTCACGTGGCACAATTCCGATTAAGCCACGCCTCGGCCGTGGGTTTGGGAACCCCTGTCTCAACCTTTAAAAAAACCTACTTATGAAAGCCGAGACTCTTGATCTTAACACTATAACTATTTATCCTAAAAACGCATATATATTTTTCTCTCCAGGAACCAAATGGAGAGACTCCGGTCTCTTTGTACAGAGTCGCTGCCATCCTTTTGCAACATAACTTAATAGATCTGGAAGATCTTTATGTGCACGTAAGTTATTTATTTTGCACTTAGCCACAAAATGTGCGTTCCGTTAAGTGCAGAAGATAATCTCTCCCAAACGCGGGGGCTTTTCTGTCATGTAATCCATGATTTAGGAGCCTATTTACAGTCTCCATAAGAGAATGAGCCGTCCTCTCATACTTAGGAAAGAAATCTGAAAAACATAACATGGGCACAGTGGTTAGAGTGTAGTGCTTGCAGGCTACTTCCACTGACTGCCGGCTGCAGTTGGAAGCTAATAATCCAAGCTAATATTCAAATTTGCCTCTCTAGCTCCTGCCATCCGACCACGCTATCCTCGAAGAACACAGGCGGGAAATCGGGGAGGCGAAACAAATTGTAAGGAAACTTACCATGGTTGTGCTCTCTTCCGAAAAGACGGAAGAGAAAGAGAAGGAGAAGGAGAAGGAAGAGGAGAAAATGGAAAAGGTGAGTTCCAGCCGCGCAGGCTTCCTGCCGCGAGATCCGATTGGAGGCGCTAATCATCCTAGCGAATGCAGCTAGGCAGAATTTTTCTAGTGCGCCATCTAACTATCCGGGAACCGTTTTAACAAGCCGGGATTACACCACCGTTCTGGTGGGAATCGGTTTTGCTTTGACTTGCATTGAAGATGTGGATGATGGGGGAAGGAGTCTTCTCTATTTTAGCCCCAGATAGAAAGACATGTGAACTGAATATAAAATTTTTCTGCTCCTGATAGAGCAGGGCACTCATACTTGATATCTTACATTAGACTGTCAAAGTTTATAGAGCTAGTTTTTGACTTACAACAATTCATTTATCAAAGATTCAAAGTTACAACTGCCCTGAAAAAAATGATTTGGGACCGTTTTCCACACTTACGGGCGTTGCAGCCAACGGGGAAAGCCAGACTCACTTAACGACCATGTTCCTGTCTAAACAACTGCAATTATTCACAGTGGCAAGAAAGCTTGTAAAATGGGGCAAAGTGTCTCGCTTACCAACAGACATTTTGGGCTCAATTGTGGCTGTAAGTCAAGGACTACCTGTGTTGGTATGGTTTAATCTGGCATCTGGATTTTTTTTTTTTATAACCAGGCTAGCCGATAATCCGGCATTGTCTGGGAATTTATTTATAGGGTGAAAATGTCTGGACCAAACGTAATTTCTAATGATGGATTTCCCTCCTTACCAGAGGGAGTCCCTTTGTGGAGTACTGTGAAGCCGTAACCATGGCAACTCCACTGCGCTGCAGAAGCCATTTTACAGCAGTACAGTAGAAGCCATTTTAAGGCACAACAGGCTGCATCTTAACAGAACACACACCCCAAGGGATCTTAGGGGTTTCTAGCCCCACAGTATTTGTTTCCACAGAGTAAGTCCTCTGTGTACCAAGTTTGCTTGAAATAGCTCGAGGTGTTCCAGAGTTATGCTGGAACATACACACACACAGCCGTTTATAAATATATAAAAATAAATTTAAAAAACAAAAGTTACTTTTCCTTTGCTTGGTTATTTTTTTCAGCCACCAGATAACCAGAAACTGGGTTTATTAGAAGCCATGTTAAAAATTGGTGATTGGCAGCATGCGCAAAGCATTATGGACCAGATGCCCCCGTTTTACGCAACTTCGCACAAACCCATCGCTCTCGCTCTTTGCCAGCTTCTCCACGTGATGATTGAGCCTCTCTATCGAAGGTGAACGGGGTCTGCATGTCGAATAAATTGATTAAACCGCTTAATTTTAGGCTTCCATAATTGAAACTTCCTTGGTTTTAGAATTCGTAGCTTATAGAGTGGTTGTTGTGACCTGTCAATGGCCAGCAGAGCTGGCAGCGGATTCGGACAGTGAGGAGGGTTGGGGAGGAAGATGGGCCAGTCCTGGAGTCTGAGGAAGGCTCTGATGAGGGCTCTGTGTTGGAGGCAGAAAGGGGGTCAGAGCCGTATGCCAGTTATCAGTCGCCTTCAGAGTCAGACATCAGTGAGGCAGATGAGCAGCTGGAGCCTGTTCCCAGAGTTGCCAGACGAAGGGAACAGCTAAAGAACGGGTCGACTTGAGAGTAAGGCCACAGGTAGAGGGTCAATGGTCCGTCCCAGAGGAAATAAAAGAGGAGCAAAAGGGGAGTGGAGTTTGCAGGAGACAATTAGTTTGCTTAATTGGTTCGTGACTCTCCGAGACTCCTTGCCAAATTTTGCAGGTATCGGCCTGGCAGCTCTCCAAGCCAGATAAGGTCTGTGACTGTAAATCCTCCCTTGAAAGACTTTGCTGGATGTGAATTAGCAGAATTCACAGTTAATAAAAGGGTTTTTTGTTGGGACAAAGAAGTTTGCTTCATGCTCCTGGGAAGCCTCGGTCAGA